GCTGTGCCCTGAACGGGGAGGGACCTGCATCCTGCTCCGGTCTCGAACTGGGAAGGACCCGCATCCCTCTCTGGTCCTGAATGGGGAGGGACCCGCGTCCCGAACTGGCTGCACCCTGAATTGGGAGGAATCTGTGCCCCGGTGCAGCTGCAGCCAAGCCCAGAGGAACCCGCTCCCCAAACCAGCTGTGCGTGACAGCCCAGCTGTGCCCAGATCGGGAGGGACCTGCGCCCCAAACCAGCGGTGTGCCTTGACATGTCTGGGCACCCTGCTCCAGCTGCACCCAGAGACAGGAGGGACCTGCACCCCAAACCAGCCATGCACCCCAAACCGACTGCACCCTGAAGGGTCCTATACCCCAAACTGACTGCACCCTGAACCAGAGAGACCTATGCCCTGAATCAGCTGTGCACCCCAAACCAGCTGTCCCCTGAACTGGGAGGTACCTGTGCCCTGAACCAGCCATGCACCCCAAAATAGCTGCATTCTGAACCAGGAGGGACCTGCACCCCAAACTAGCTGTGTGCACCAAACTTGTACCCTGACCCTGCTGCACCCTAAACCAGGAGGGACCTGCACCCCAAAGCATCCGTGCATGTTGATCCTGCTGAGCCCTAAACCAGTAGGGACCTGCACCCCAAAGCATCCGTGTGCTGGTCTGGCTGCATCGTGGCGTGATGGATAACGCTCTGCCGCTGGAAGCGGAGCTGGAGCACCAGTGGCCACTCAACACCTCCCTGAACGAGTCCTTCGCGAATCAGTTCGTGCAGCCCCCGTGGCAGGTGGCCCTGTGGGCTGTCGCCTACGCCCTCATCGTGGTGGTGTCGGTGGTGGGGAACGTGGTGGTGATGTGGATCATCCTGGCTCACAAGAGGATGCGCACCGTCACCAACTACTTCTTGGTGAACCTGGCTTTCGCCGAAGCCTCCATGTCCGCCTTCAACACGGTGGTGAACTTCACCTACGCCATCCACAACGAGTGGTACTACGGGCTGCTCTACTGCAAGTTTCACAACTTCTTCCCCATCGCTGCCGTCTTTGCCAGCATCTATTCCATGACAGCCATCGCCCTGGACAGGTGAGCTCTGAGCGTCAAACCCCAAACCCTCCCGGGCACCCAGGTCTGCCTCCACCTGGGTGCTGTTCTCAGCTCCGTCTGATCTCCGGTCATGGGAGAACATTGCAATTAAAAGAAAGCATATTTTGGTAAAAGAGGCTAGAAATAATCCCCCTCCCTGCCCTGGTTGCACGTGGCTTTGGGAATCCTTTGTCAGCTCTGTGAGAGGAGAAAAGGCTTTGTAACCCGAGTGCATGTTGGTAGCGTGACTTGGGTGTGCGTTTGTAGCATCGCTGTCCTCTCCCTTCCCAACTCCTCTGCAGAGCCATCCATTCCTTTCCCAACCTCCTCATTTAAAAGCAAACTCGATATTTAGCACAAAATGGCATCACCTCATGACATAAAATACATGCCTGTGTCGGACATGCCTCCGCTGCGCTGCAGGAGCTGTTTCGTGTTGCTTGATCTGGGTTGGGAACCACCTAAGGAGCCTCGGAAACAAGCTCAGGCTTGGGAAAGGCATCTTAACTTGGCGAGTGCATTGTCGCGTTGCAGGCTGGTGTGTCTCCCCAAGCAAACCCACCTTGATTTTATTAGTGGGGGCCAAGGGGAAGAGGTAGGTGCCAGGGATTTCTCTCGTTTGGCTGCAGCCAGCACAGCTTAGTTGGTTTTTTTTTTTTTCACTGCCTGGTTTCTGCTGGCACTGCCCGATGGCTGGGGACTGCCGGCAGATGAGATCCCGCTTGCGTTTTGCTGCGACCAAAAGTTCAGCAAGCGCTCGGTGGGGTGCGATGGCACAGGGGACGCTGCCTTTTTCACCGCAGAGGGATGAGCCAGGGGTCGAGGGACACAAAATAGCCGTGCATCAGGCACCTCCAGTGCGCAGCTCCCCTCTCTTCTCTCACACTCCAAAAAAATCTTCTATTTGATGGCATTTTCACACAGCGCTAGAGATAAATCAAGGCTCTCAAACAGCTTTGCAATTCCCTCTTGAGAACCGGTGTTTCAAGCGCAACAGATTTTTCCAACGCAACATATTTCCTGAAGACAGCTTGGCTCTGCAACACCTCTTTTTGGTCCTTCTTCCCAGGGAGTAAAAGACATTTTGGCTGGGGATACATGTAAAGCGGGGTCGGGGGGGGGAGGAGATTTGCATTGCTGTATGCCAGCACATTTTGAGCTGATGTCTAAGTGCTGCACAAACTGGCACGGATATTTCCCTACGAGAAATTATAGGGCTGCCACAACACACGCACTGACAGCTTGGGAAACGGAGCTTGAGATGGATGATGCTCTCTAGTTGTTAAAAACAGGCTCAGGTTTTGTTTCGCTTTGGAGTGGTTACAAGACCCTCTCCCCAAAATAAATTGGACATAGCCAAGCTCTCACACCAGAGATGTGAGGAGAATTAAGGCAATAATAAATAAAAAGAGGAATACTCCCAGCGTGGCTCTGTTCCTACCCGATGGTGTTGCTGGCTCTGTTTCAGGAGCATCTGCGTTTCGAGGATATTGGGGATCAGCTGGCAAAACCCCTTTCAGGTTAGGATAAACTAGAGAGAGGATTTTTTTTTTAAGGAGTTTGTTTTTTAGCCTTCGGTCCACACCCTGGAATAACCAGAAAAGCAAATCTACCAGGGGAAGCTGCAGGAGCATGTGTAAAATGGGGAGCAAAGGCAGGTCTGGGAGCCTGGGGCTGAATTTTGGGGAGGAATTGGAATTTCCAGTTTTCTTCTTGCACCTGCAAACCCTTAACCGACACTTGGTTTTCCCATGGCTGGGCTGCAAAACCCATGCGTGCAGGCTTGGCTCGCCGACCAAGAAGGACCCAAAAGAAGCTGCAGCCTCAGTGTGCAAACACCTCCTGCACAGAGCTACCTGCTGCATTTCTTGGCCCCAAATTTCCAGTGAGAAATGTGGGAAATTTGGAAGGTGAAGGCAGCAAAGTCCATCCCCTGCCCCTCTAGGCAAGCAGCACACGACAACATCTCCAAGCTCTGGAAAATTGCTTGTTTTCCTGCGTCGGAGACCTGACAATAGTAACTTAAACGCATGAAACACAGGAACTTTTTCCAGGAACCCAAAAGGGAAGAATTTTTGTCCTGGCAAGCAGCAAAAAGCTGTGCAGGAACAAGGAAAGCAAGTACCTGAATTCGGAGCAGCAAAGCCAGATAAGCTCAGCAAAATGGGTTTTATTCACAGCCAGGACATATCTGAAATGAAACATGACTGCAGTTCTGATTTTCATCAAAAACTAGGAAAACAGAATTGAATGTGCCTCATGTTCCCAAAGTGTATTAAGCCATCTATCAGAGCAGTTGGATACGGAGTCTGAAGGCTCGGAGGAGCGTCAGTCTGCAGATTGCTCCCCTAAATCATCTTTGCTTGTGCCTTCTGCAAGCAATTTCCAGAACATCCACACCGGAGGATACGAAACCGCCTTGGAAAGACTCGGCACAGCCGTAACAGAGTCGTTGAGAGAACAAGTGGGGAAGCGGGTTTGATTCTCCCAATGGCTTTTTTTTTTGCAGAACCTGCCATGGGTTTGTGGAAGAAAAAAAAAGCTTTTGCTTGAAGCTAGACCATCTGCTCTTTCAGCAGATTTCAGCCTGGGCACAACCACTCTGAAAAAATAAAAAGAAGGTAATTCTATAGTGAGTGTTATTCTGAATCCTGCAACAATAGCAGGAAGTTCAGGAGTCAAGGCTGGCAGCTGGTAAAGTCTGCTCAGGAAAAGCCATGATGCTGCTTCTCAGCATCCTGCAAAAATGGGGGCCAAACAGCTCGCTTTGGCACTATAGAATTTGCCATGTCCTTCATTTTTGGGCATATCAGTGCCAGAGCACATCACATATCCCTTTCTGGCTTCAAACACTCCTTGTGAATCAATTCACTTGAAAGAGGGAGACACAAAATCCTGGCTTTCTTCCAATCTTCCAGGAAAAGTGAGAGCCCTGCAGTGCCCATGGTGAGTCCAAGCTAATTTGCAGCCACACTTAGAGAAGAAAAAACCAACTCTGGACATCCTCAAGTTGCAATGTCTACGGCACGTACGATGGAACATTTGTTAGATAAACTGTTGGTATTTTCTCTCCACTTGGGACCTGGATTCATTTCTGAGCACCACCACTCGTCCACACCATTAGCAAACTTCGGACAGAGGAATGAGTTTCCATGATGAAGGACAACTGGGAATGCAGCTGAAGGTGAAGATCCCAGATTACTTGCAGAATTGGAAAAAAAAATCTTGTCTGACCTCAAAACTTTAAGTCAGCTAAGCTAAAAACACCGCAGACTGAACAAATAGTGATGAGAAGGGTGAGAGCCCTGCCATGAACTCAGGGTCAAGACAGACTATGCAGCACTTGAGCTATTTAATACGAAGCGATTTCCCTTTTTCTGCAAAGAGTCCTCTGCACTAAAGCAGCTATAAAAGTGACATACAGTGGGACTAACCCCCTGCAAATCCTAGACCAACTTGCTGCTTTTGCTCATTAAAAGAGCCCCCTCTCTGACCTCCACCAGCACCAACACTGCCAGAACAGCACGCAATCAAACTGGGATCTTATTTATATTCCCTTTTTAATTTCCAAATGGGTTGTCAAGTTATATTAGGTGTCTTAAGATCCATCAATTTGCCAGCAGGAGCTGCAGAAGAAACATCAAATCTGCGAACCTTCATTCACCACCACGGCTCCTAAAATTGCTAGTCTGCAGCCAAGACCTGTTAATATCTCCCCAACCACATATTATTTGTGGCAGAAAAACCAGCCCGGAAAATTATTTACTGCTTGCAAGCTTGAACTCCCAGGTTGGACAAATCAGCTGAATATCAGGAACATACTCGCCAGCTCAGCGGCCCCATGCCTTCCCCGAGAGGTGATTACTGCAGAAAGAAACCCTCCGGAGAGGACAAATTACATCAGCGCACAGACAGATTAATTAGTCATTTACACCCTAATATAGCACCAGGGTTTTTGTTTTAATCTTGACTTAATGGACTTCTGGGGTTTGCAGAGCAGGACTTTGATCTGCGCCTGGCGCTGTGTAATCTTGCTCTGCTGGGATGTAATTTGGAAGATGGAAGAGCAAGGGGGAAGCAAAAAGACCCCAGGTTTAGGGCCAGCAGCCCCTGCACCGGCCGCCCTGCAGCACTGCCTACGTACCAGCTAGCAATAACCAAAGCAGCTTTTTGAGTTCCTGAAAAATGAAGCGTCACCGACCACAGCAAAAACCCTGCAAAGCTGCTGGATACCCAGCACGGAGCTGGCTCGAAGCATTGATCTCCCAGCTGGGGTTAGAAAGCAGGGGGTGGACGGGGACGGACAAGGGAACACCTTAGTAAGGGGTCACTCATCAAGGCTGGTTTATGCCCCTGCTCCCAGCAGTAGTCTCTGATCTGATGGGTATGAACTGGAATTAATCCCCCCCAATACTCACTAGATATGAATTCAGCCTGTCAAAAAACAAATTACATCTTTTTTCCCCTCTTTTCCTTTGGAAAGAAGAGGGGGCTTGAAATTCCCATGGCAATAAATATACAACTAAGATGAATTAGCGACAGTTTGGGGGCTGGGAGATACAGGAGACTCAGGTTTTAGACATGCTTTTGGGGTGATCATAGTGCTCATCTGCAAGCTGGGTGCTGCCACAAGCCACCATAGGAGTTTGAGGGCCTCTGGTGAGATATTCGGTTTATCCGATGGCTTTCTTAATTTATTCCTTAATTTATTCTTAATTCTTCAATGGCCTAGTGGGAACCATCCATGCACTAAGAGCACCAGGTCTCATGGGTCACCAGCTCTGCATTTCATGTGATTTTTGTTCTCCCCTTTCACTCTCCAGCTACAAACCAGTGCCAGGACTAACTGGTTGATAAGGTCATATAGGTGCCTCGAATAACAGCATCTGCAGAGTCTGTCAGCGGGGCTGGGTTGTGCTTTAGGTCCCATCCCACCCCGGCGCTGTTGGCAAACGCAGTGAATGCAGGAGGGAGCTCTACGCCTCCTTAACAGCCTGCTGCAACTAACTGGGGTTTGATCCTGTTTTGCGTGCATTTGGCTTTTAAAACCAAGCGTGCCCGCGGGGTTTGCAATGGAAGAGGTGCTGTGCAGGAAGGCAGGGGAGTTTGCAAAGCTGCCGGCGTAACTCAGGTCACTGTTTGGTGGTGGGTCACACGTCCGTTTCGGTTGTGCTCAAAGGAAATACTGAACTGCTTTCAAAAAGGAAAGATGCTGTGCCGTATCGGTGCTCTGGGGAAATGCCGATGAGAAACATGCACCTCCTGCTTGATGAAGACGCTTTGCCGAGCGTTGAGCGTCCCTCGGGTCTCGGGGCAGGAGTGCACTGTCCATCTCTCGGTTTGGACGGTCGCTGTTTTATGTCAAAACAATAAATAGGAGGAAGCAGCTGCTTGCGGCGCCTTCATCCCCAGCGTCGTTTTTCAAGCACGCAGGGCTCAGCTAGCCTCCTCGGCCGTCATCCAGATACGAGGTATTTGGGGCCAGCGCGACCAGGCCAAGCTTCGCTATGCAAACCTGCTCGAGGGACGGTATTTTTGCATCCACGCTGTTGCGATGCAATCCTCACGGAAAGCAAAAAGGCAGTTTTTTTTCTATGGAGAAGCTTTTCATTTCTTGGGTAGGAAGGACCTGGAGCTGTGCTGGAGGTATTTGACCCACCTCATTCTGGGGCATCTGCCCTGACTTGGTTACAAACTCCCTCGGGACTGACTCTGCACTAAACCCCTCTTTGCTCAGGATGGGAAATCGTTGTGCAATAAAACACACAGCACAAACTCTTGGTTACTCATCTCTTATCTGCTGTATCCTTATTACTTAATGAAGCAGATAAGGAAACTCTGAGATGAAAGACGCTTCATAAATTTTTGCTATTATATTAATCTCATCTCCATGAGGGTGGAAACAATTGTGTAATGTTAGTTATCCAGGCAGACTTCAGATTTCCAGATGCAATTAATAGATGGCTACGCTGCCTCAAATGCATTATCTATTTAATAACTGATACGCTCGGAGCTACCCTAGTACAACGTTGTACTCAAATGCTATTGTATCGTCATGGTAACACCCCCCCAAAACACAATAAAATATTTAAACAACAGCAAACGGCGTTACCAAACGTCATCAAATAGCGTCTGGCGTAAAGTGGTGCGCTTTAGTGCCAAGCCCATTAAACGTGGTGGATTTAAAACATTAAACATGATGGGAAAGGTGCAAGGAAAATGCAGTTGCACGGGCATCGGGTCTCTCCTGCAAGGGGCAACTGAAGCTTGCAAAACTTAACGATGGTTTGCACTTGAACACGGTGCTTCCATCCAAAAGGAGAGCAACTGCAGATCATTTTATTTTGAGAAACAGCTATCATCAAGTCTTCCCAACCCAACATCTTCTGCAGGCAAATGGCCCCATTCCCAGTGCACTGCCTGCACGGAGAACAAAACCTTTCCCTTACACAGGAAATCTGCGGTCAAATCCTCAACCAAGAGCCAATTCCCTATGAAAAACTAGGACTTGAAGACCCCATGGTGGTTCGTCACCCGTTGCAGCGGCGAGGGCAGGATGTTCACACAGGGACGTGCTCCTCTTCCTCACTTCCCCTGAACAACCATCCCTAGCAAACCGCAACACCCAATTTTTTTATGGATGGGAAAACCGCGCTCTTGAACAGCAGAGAAAAAAAATAAATCTAATAGGATACAGCATCTTAGGGAGATGGGCAGAGTGGGGCCACAGAGGCACTTTGCGAGGAGAAATATGAGCTAATAAACTCATTAGCCTTGCTTTTGAGAGCCCGCTTCTCGCTGGTGCAGCCGGGACCTGCGTGGCCAAGCCAAGGACAGCAGCGGCTTCCTGGCACTTAGCTCCGATCGATGCCTTTTGTGCCCAGCGCTGCAAAACCGCCCGCCCGAAACCATGCACAGGGCCAAACGCCCGCCAGCACCTTGCAAACACCCCAGGGCATTGCAGCTGCATCCCATGCCCATGCTCTGCATTTCCATTTGAATGCAAACTTGTTCATATTAATAAAAAATAAATAGATCGGCAAGCTTTTTTTGCTGAAAGGCAAAGTCACAATTAATGTGTCATTTTTCTTTCCTGCTAAGAAGTGATTGATGGAGGTTTGGCTGCAGCACCTACCACAGCCTTGCCTGGGAGGTCAAACCTACGTGGAGGGGAGAAGACAACCTGGAGGTACCCGCAGTAGGGCTCCGCAACACGGGGTTGCTTTTCTGCTTTGCAATCGCTTGCTTGGAAGGAAGGTTTTATTTTAGGTTATCCAAAACCCTGCCATAGAAATGCATCATGGAGGAGGGTTTGGCTCAAAACTGACCAGAATTGCAAGAAAGCAAACTGGCTTTTTGGGACCCGTGTTCTGGATGCAAAAAAAGATCCAGTGGTGGCCAAAAAACCCCCAAAAACCCAAAACCTGAAAGACAGGAATACACACAAACCTACTGGGTAGAGAAGCATTTAAAGTCTGACCGGTCTGCAAGGAAATGAGAATCATTTGAGCGCGATGGATCCAGCGCTGGAAGAAGGCAAAAGAAGCTGGTTTGCTCCCTGTACCAATGCTTTTCCATCCCAATACAAGCAAGATGGTGGCTGTCATTCGAGCTAAGACAGCCACGAAACCATATTCTCTGCTCCCCCCTTCTCCCCAGTTTGATTTTGCATCAAATGTTCTTGTCAAGGAGAGGGGGGAAAAAAGAAGGAAAAATAAAAAGGAAGCAGTTATTAAAATGTTAGGACAATTTTCTGCTTAGTGATACAATTATTATATAATTATACGATATTTTAATATGAAATAATGGTCTAATTATTCTCAGGATGTTTGTACATTCCCATCTATCTCCAGCATTTTTATGGTCTGTAATACCAGCTCCTCCAAGCAGCCCAGACCCTTTTTATTACATTTTTTTCTTCCCCATCAGAGCCCCTGTCTGGGAGAACTGTTATTATTCCCATTTTTAATCCTGATGGGCAGCTGAACCCAGAGCAGCCCCAAAGAAATATTTCAGAGGTCGCTCGGGACCAATGGTTTGGGAATTGCTGCCGAAAAACAGGATTTGGGGCCAGCTTTCCCCAAAGCGCCGCTAGCTTGCTCCCTCCTGCCTCCCTCACCCCGTCCTTGCAATGCCAGCATGGTCAGATGAATTTCGCCATCTCCTTTCTACCACGAGACAGCGTTGCAGACAAGTCGATGGTGGTTGGAAAGGTCTCTAGGCTATCTGATTGGGGTTTAGTTCATCATTACAGAGATTATTTGGATGTTTTATCAACTGCGAGGGCTTCAGCAGATGAGGAAAGTCCTCTGAAATGCGCTGGCAGAAACAAGGTCAGAGATGTAAAAGCATTTCTGGCTGGTTGCAATCAAGCGCTGGCTTTGCTTTCCAGAACTCTCAGCCTCAGATGTTTCTCCAAGCAAGTATTTCAACAGAAATGGCCCAACTTTTGTGGAAATCCCTCATTTTCCACCTTTTGCATGCTTGAGCTTGAACTGCTGGGTCAAGCATCAGCAGCAAACTTGGGCATGTGGACTTCTTGCTGCTTGGGAGCATAAACCCAGGGTAACCTGTTCTGAACCCCGTGATAAAGCCCACGCAAACCTCAGCCAGCTCAGCAAACCCGCTAATGAGGGGCTCAGCCAACACCAGGCATTTGAAGGATGAGGAAGAGGAAGGAGACAAGTCCTTGCAGGGTCCCGAGAAGCCAATCGTAAGTATGACAAGGAAGAAATGAGAAACACGGATGCAGAAACCAGGAGACCTTGGTGCATCACCAGCTGCTGTGCCAGAGCAGCACTAACACCCATTGCTGTGGCTTTTTCTAACCAGCTTCGATTTCAAGTACCAAACAGATTTTTGAGGGATGATTGTCAGGTGGATTAGGTGGATTTTCAGCTGCACAAAGCTGATAAGGTTTGGTACCCTGGGGCAGAGGAAGAGCTGACAGCGGTACCTCCTGCATATTTATATATTAATCCCTACGTCTTTGCCCCTGCAAGTGGCCACCCAAAAATGCAACATGGGGGGTATTTGCCATCTAGGAAAAAATTAAAGGAAAAAACTGTCCATCCTCTGAAAGGAGAAGGGATGAAGGGATGAAAAGGAGGCTGCAAACACCTTGGGCAATAACACATGCAGAGCGATGCAATGTTTCTCCTCTTCCCAAAGCTTGACATGGAGCAGGAGGGAAATAAAATAAAAAATTTGCGATGTTCTCACTTAATCCTTACAGCGCTGCTAGCTGCTGCCAGCTTTGCAAAACCAGATTTGCAGAGGGATAAATTCAATCCACCTCGTCGCCACTGGAGCTTTCCTCGCATATGACGACTGATGTTCAGGGGAAAGAGCCCAGAAGCCAGGCAGATACAGGTGGCATCTCAGATCACCCATCCCACGCCGGTCCAGCACTCTTATATTTCGTTCTCCTCCTGTAACACTTGGCACTGTGATCCACCGCAGAGATATGATTTTGCGTGGGTGCAAAACTACCAGGCGCTGCCAAAGCGGCTGCTGCCAGACGGCAGCATCACGGCTGGCTTTGTACAAATTGGTCTTTGCAGAAGCAGGCGGTTGTTGGTTGTGTTAGCGAAGCTGTTTTTCAGCTAAAAGCCAATGAGTGTCTCAAACAGGATTCAAATCTCGAGGGTAAAATGCTGCAAGAGAATTAGAGCATTTGATGGGGATTTTTCTATGCTGTTTGCATTGTGCGGAGTGAGGGGCTGCCAGGATGCATTAAGAGGGTGTCTAAAGTACGACCCCCATGCAAGGGAGACCTAAAACAGCCCCAAAAGCTGCAACATCGGGGCATTCCAGCCTTGATTTCTTCTTTTCCCACCTTGCAGGTACATGGCTATCATCCACCCGCTGCAACCCCGACTCTCAGCCACTGCCACCAAGGTGGTCATCGGTGTCATCTGGTTCCTGGCTTTCCTGCTGGCTTTCCCCCAGGGTTACTACTCGGTGATGGTGGAGCTGCCGGGCCGGCTGGTGTGTCTGGTGGAGTGGCCGGAGCACAGCACCAATATGTATGGAAAAACGTGAGTTGAACTTTTCCGGCAGTGGGGACAAGTGACCTTAGAGAAAAAATGCAGAAGAAGTATAAAAAAAGGAAGCGAGGAAGGATGGGAATGGCTTAAAGCTCCTTGGGATGGGGAAATCCTCCCCCTACCCTAGTGAGGGCCAGTGCTACGTAGTTGGTGGTAGCCAAATCTCTGTCCATATCATTTTGGGGCACATTAAGGTTAATTAAGGTGAGTTTAGTGCTGCTCATGGTCCAAACATTGCCCCGTGCTATGCCATGCTCCCTGCCCTTCTTGGATGCTCATCCTCGAGGGAAACTCACATAAAACTGCTAAGATGCAATATTTTGGCAATATGGTGGGGATGGGGTCTGCATTGCCCCCAGGGGCTTATTCATACATGCAGGTATGGCTCTGGTTTTTGGAGCACCTTTCCTGCAACCCATATCTCTAAAGGCTTCCTGGGGCAAAAGTTATTCCTGCAAGAGGTAAATAGGGTTTTACTGGGGGTTTCTTGGCCAAGCAATAACAGAAAAAAAACTGGTTTGGGATTTACTGAGTCCAAATGCCCCAAAATTCACTCGACAGCTTAAAAAACAAGCTACAAAAAGGGACTCTGTGGCATCAGCTCAGGCTGGGAGACAAACGCTGGGCTAGGAGGGCAAACTCCTTCCTTCCCGTTAAGGTGCCGGCTAATTAAATCTGGCATTTCCAAAGGGTCCGGGCAACGCCGCTGGTCTGCCAGCACAGTGGTCCTCCGTGGTTTGCTCTTTGAAGTCCGCAAGTCATGCGGCGAGTTAAATGTCATGCATTAAGGAAAAAAGAGGGGGGTAGGAAAAAAGGCATTTGTGATCTCCAGTCCTGTGGAGCAATGAATTAGGGCTGTGAAATTGTGCTGGGGCCAAAGCAGGGGACACACACGCATGGAGAGGTGTTTAAAGCCAACCTGAGCTGGCGAAGTCTCTCTGCAAGACAAATGAGATGAGTTTGCCAGTCAGCAGCAAGTGGCAAGCTGCAGAGAGCTGGACGGTATCATTTATTATCATCTTATTTATTTGCATTGCAAGGCAGGTATGGCAAGAACTAAGCTGGGGCTGGCCCAGGTGATCTCCAGAGGTGTTTTACAATCTTAATTATTCTAGGCCACCATGATAAATACAGCCAGCGTGAAGAAATGCCGCTAGCTTTGACAGCCCACGCGGTCAGGATGGGGCTGAGCCCCCCCAGACTGAAGCAGCAACTGGTGCAAGCTCAGGGCCTGGCTTTTACAGATCATTTGCTGTTCAGCTGTACACTGGGGCTGTCGCTTTTTCAAATAGCTAATTCAAGATAAAAATGCCACCATTAACCTATGAATGATTTGCTGCTGGAAGCCGGATGCCGCTTCAAAGCCTGAGCATCCCGTGCTCTTCGGCAAGCCAGGGGCTCTGCAAACAGATGAGGGCAGCCAGGAAAGCTGGGAAAGCAGATGATAAGCAGAAGCCAAAATAGCCAAACCCCAACTATTTGGTGGGGATTGAAAATAACTTGCAGCTCAGCAGCATCTCTCCAAACCGCATGAACTCACTTGCACAGTGCAGAGCCCGAGATGTTATTTTACTGCCCCAAAATAACTTTGCAGGGACAGGTGGTTGGGTCACTGTCAAACACCCTCCCCTGCTCGCATGGCCTTGGGACAGTTATTTAAGGAAGGCGCCGGCAGCAGCCGGCTTGTTTGCAATGCCATGATGAAAAATAATATTATTTTTTCAGTTCATAGTGAAAATAGGGGACTTCTCCCAACACCGGGGGGTCATTTCTCTTGGCAAATGGAGCCCAGAAAGCACAACCCCGGCATGCAGAGGGATCAGAGACTGGGATGTGCACATGAGGTTTTTTCACTGGGAAAACATGTCCTTTCTCAGCCCGCTCGTATGGGGGGAAGCACACAAAGACCTAGGCGCAGGCGAGATGCTGCGTCTCCAACAGAAGCCAGCGATTCAGCTCGATTCGATTCAGCGGCTGGTTTAACCACCGATTCCCTCTCCTGCTCTTGGTTTCAAAATAGATGTCTGATCTATTCCAGTTTCATTAGCTGCCATTTCAGTTTGTTACGGGAAGGGGAAAAGCCGCTCCACTCGCTGGCTTCTCTGGGAGGTAACAGCCCACAGCAACCATCTGGGCTTTGCAAGGCAAAAGGAGATGGCAGGTGCCTCCTCCAACATCACTGTCCCATAACTCCTACGGGCTCCTCTATCCTATACAAGACCCTAAATCCCCACACTGAAGACCTTTAAATTACAAAACCCAGGCTTCTCTAAGTGCTCTGATCCTGCAGTTCTTGTAGGTAGAATAACATACGAACGGTTTCACATGGAGACCGGTTTTCAGTGCCCAGGGTTCAAAAAGAATGTCCCAGGGCTCTTTGGAAATCCCTGTCCCTGCCATGCCCAGGCAGCTCTGAAAATAAGGGTCAATCTTGCTTATGTTATCTAACAGCTCCTCTGGGGCATTTCTGCATTGCTCTCGGCTGTTTGCAGCTGGTTTAAGGCCTTGCATTACATGGGAAACATAACGAAATCTTCATCACGGAGCCACAGAGACGCCTCTTTAATTATCAAAATAGAAAACAGCCCTACAAAATCCATCTCAAATGCGATTAGCACTGGGCGAAGAGGAGGCCAAATGAGATTGCAGGTACAAAACAAGGAGAAGATGGCGTGGCAGCATGGGTTCGGGGCCAAGCCCATTCCCTGCGGGAGTTGCACCAGGCACGAGCCTGATCCATTCGTTACACTTCGGAGATATTATTGAATCAAAGCTCCCAGGAGGACGAGTGAGTGCAAGAGCGGAGCGTGGCTACAGGGCCTGAACCGCCTTGAACAGATGCAACACCTTGCGTTCGAGCTGGGCACGCACCCCAAAAATGCATGCAAAGACTCTAAAGCTGTCAGAAGAAAATTACCTCCAGACCTGGCGGCACGTGTGATGCTTTGCAAGCCGGCATTGTGCAAGCCAGCCGCGTTTCTGTACTGCTATTGCTTATCTTTCTGCAGCGGAGAGAGGTTTTTGCAAGCTACGATGGTAGGAAGGAACCTGCAAGGTCAAACTGTCCGTCCCCATCCTGTTTGTTAAAAACAGTATTGTTTTTTTCCTTTTTAAACCAACTGCTATTTAACACAAATCCTTCACTCAACCCACTGCAATCCCAGTGGCTATTGCAACCTGCCACGGCTCCACCAACTTCACAACAAAACAGTCTCAAGCCTGCGCTAACAGTTTAATCCAGACCCTCTCATTCGATTTTGGGCTTATTTATACCTGTTATAAACAGACACAAAGATCCTGCCCTTTCCATGAGCCTGGAGAACTGACCCGGCCACTGAATTCACAGAAAAGTTTTAATAAACCTCCACGACAAGGGTTTAGGCTGTGTTTTTGGGGACTGGGGTTATGCCTTGTGCCACCTGAACCCAGCTAAACTGATGGTAGACCAGGATTCAGGCAAACTGCATTCAAGACCTAGTGTTTACCCCGCAGGGAAAGCCTTTATTTCTTCAGCTTAGTATTCCCATCCTTTATATGTCAAAAAAACCACATTTGCTCCTGCAGGACTGCCAGATAAAAGGTGTGATAAGAGCAAGCATTCATCTCTAGGATAATTTGGGGTGTAAATAAGTAGGATTGAGAGTAGAGCCACTTCAGCTAAGACGTTCTTGGCTTATGAAGGTAATACAAGTTCTTCACTGGCCTCTACATCCCATCCCAGGAGGGTGCTAGGATGCCAAAGGCTGGCAGCAGAGGCTTGGAAAAGATTGGGGTGAAAGTAGGGAGTCCTTCCCGGCCCGAGCCCTGCAGGCAACGTATCTGCAGGAATTGTGCCAAATTCTCTGCCCCTGTGAAGCACTTTGCCTTCAAGCTCGGTTTGCAAGAAAAAGACCGAATAGGTAGAGGACACACGCAACCACCATCATTTTTTCTAGGTATCACTTCTGCATGACCATCCTGATCTACTTCTTGCCGCTTCTGGTGATAGGATGTGCCTACACTGTGGTTGGCATCACCCTCTGGGCGAGCGAGATACCAGGCGACAACTCAGACCGTTACCACGAGCAGGTCTCAGCTAAGCGGAAGGTAAGGAGCTTCGAGTACAGTTGGAGCCGTAATTCATGCCCAATCCCAACTAATCACAGCCAAAAATACTTCATTAGGGGTGGGAAAAAGTCAGGACTTGTTGCATGGTTGTTGTTAATGGAGCAGAGAGTGTCCTCCAGATGTGTGTCCTCCATGAACGTGCATGGTTTAACCAAGATGTCGACCATGTGTTCCCAGTTGGAAAGGTCTCCAAGGCAAAAAGAGGTCGTCCCTTCTTGAGGGTGACACCCCACCTGTGGGGTGTCCGTCAGATGACTTTGCTTTCCTGCCCTCTCTTCTCCTCACAGGTAGTGAAGATGATGATCATCGTGGTATGCACGTTCGCGCTGTGTTGGCTGCCCTACCACATCTACTTCACCTTGCAGTATTTCAACCCCGAGTGGTACCTGCAGAAGTTCATCCAGCAGGTCTACCTGGCTATCATGTGGCTGGCCATGAGCTCCACCATGTACAACCCCATCATCTACTGCTGCCTCAACGATAGGTGCGTTTCGAGTGACTTTCGGCAGCACCTTGGTGCAACAGGGAGGGGAGGACGGGGAGATACAGAGGGGTCTGATGGAGGACAGTATGGATGGAGAGTTTTTCCATGATGGTTCTGTCCCATCCTCTGCCAGGGGCTGCTGCCAGCAGATGCAGGAACGCTACAATACTCACCTAAATAAGTCTTTCCTAAAGCCCCTGTGGGATTTGAGGGCAGGTATCAAAACAGTCCCAACTCCTAATTGGGATTTATCAGTGTTTTTTTCTTTCCCTTAGTGAGAAGTAGCATTTTTTGGTTGTTGTTTAGCAGTGCTTAGCTCTGTCTTCCCACTCCTAGCGAGGTCCTTTTGCCAACTCCCCATCTCTTCCATCCCCCCAGGTTTCGCGTGGGGTTCAAACACGCATTTCGGTGGTGCCCATTTGTCAGCGCCAGTGAGTACGAGGGCCTGGAAATGAAGTCAGCCAGGTACCTGCAGACACAGAGCAGCATGTACAAGGTCAGCCGGATAGAGACCACCGTGTCCTCAGCGGTTGGTGCGGCCGAAGAGGAGCTGGAGGAGAGCAGCAAGGCCAAGCGTCTTTCCGTAGACATGACATCCAACGGCTCCTCCCGCAGCGACTCCAAAACAGTCTCCGAAAGCTTCAGCTTCTACTCCAACACGCTCACCTAAGTGGCTCTCTGGCTCCGTCAGCCGCTCACAATCCCCTTTCCCTCACTGGGATGCTCTGGCGCTCAATCCACCCAGCATCATCACCCCGGTTTGTGATGTGCCAGCTTTTCTTCCATGCTGTTTTACCATCTCTTGCTGTGCCGCCATCCTTGGGCGAGCCTGAGAGCAAAAGCTTTGGATTAGTTTCATGTGCTCCACCGTGGCTCGTGTCCGAACAAGGGAGGTTTGGCTGGCCTGCACCTTGCTCGCTGCCTGTCCAACCCACCACCTACCAGGAGGGTGGATAGGATGCAGAAATGGGACAGAGCTGGGTTTTTCTCCTAAACCGTAAGTACAACATTGGCAGGCACTTCCCTGCTCTCTGCAAGGCAGCAGGGATCTCCCAGTGCATCCCACCCCACAAGAAAATGAACCAGTCTTGCACTGTCCTCCTCCCACCTTTAATTTTATTCTCCCTGTCATTCTCGGTTGAATATCCAGAGGGGTATTCAGTTCAAAAACCCAGAAAAAAATGCTGTTTTCAACTTCAGGAGCCTGTATATCCATGGGGCACCACCGGCCACTCGGTGCTTCAACTGAGATCCAGGCATTTCTGCAGAGTCTCAACTCATCTCCAGCACCCGCATCCCTCTGCACGATGGTCTTCTGTTGCCATTCCTCAGCACAGCTCATCGACAGGCTCTCGAAAAGGATTTCTGAACTGAGCCAGACTTTGGTTGCTGTCAATCAACCATATGTGCCAAAAGCAATCACTGTGATTTCCTAAAAGGCCCAAGGCGATGTCTCTTGGATAGATTTTGGAAGCCTGTGGAGGTCTGGAGAAGAAGAGACTGATCATACTGAAATGTTTTTCACAACCTGGAAATGTCTAGAGCTGCACAGAAAGCGGCATGATAGGATTCCGTCAGAAAAACAAAGTTTTGCCAGCATACAAGGTTTGAAGGGAGACAAGAGTTTTGCAGACATTTTTTACCCAGAGGAGGGTTGAAGTTATTCACTTCCATTTTCTGGATATTGTTTTAATCAGTGAAACTTTTTTCTTTTCATCCCCCGTCTTTTGCATAAAACATTAAGTTTATGAAGTGTACGTGGATATATCTAATATTTTAGTCCTGTTATGATGGATAATTTTCACTGGGGATGTTCATACCAAGGGCTCCGGTGGTCAGCAAATGTATGAACATACACTCAAAGGGGGAAAAAAAAGTAAATAAAATAAGAAGTGGGCAAACTTGGCTTGTTGGGAACAAACCCACAAATTTGGGGGCAATTTGGAGGCAGTTGTATCGACTGCTCCTTGCTACTGGTCCAACCTCGCACTTTTGGTGTAGAAATGAGACTCCTAAAATGGATTTACTGCAAGATAGAAATGCTGGAGAGATGCATAAGATTTGCACAGGGCAAGGAAACGGTTCATTCATTTGAAAGCAGCCGAACGTCAGACCCTGCTGAGCACACGGCGATTTCTGGAAGTAAAGCAGAGATGACTTTTGGAGCCTTTCAGCCTCCAAACTGGCTGTTGGAAGATCCAGTCATTAATAAATCCCCAGCCACCATGGTTCTTGGAGATAAAAATACACATATTTAAGCAATGACTCCAGCAGAAATTAAACGAACGTGCAAATAGATGGATACAAGAGCAACAAAATGGCTGCAAAACCGGATTGACAAGAATGATCACCTTCATTTTTACCCAAAATCCTGCCAAGTGCCATCAGTGAGGAGCTGCTCTTCCAGTCACTTCCACGCTCTT